AGACGCCAGCAGAGTTGCACATAGTGCACAGGTTTTAACACAGCTTACAGACTAAGACAGACTAGGAAGAAGGAGGAGGCCATCCACTTCTCAAAAACTGGCCAGGAAAAACCTTATGAATAGCAGAGAAACACTATCTGATACATTACTGGTCAACTTTATGAATTTCTCAGAAACACTGTGCAACACAGTGTAGGAAGACGAGCCCCTTGGGTTGGAAGGCACTCAAAATAGGACTGGGAAAGAGTTGCTTTATCAGAGTAGAGCCTACCTTAATGATATGGGTAAAGTAAGTCTTTCTGGACCTCCATGTGCTGAAAGGCATGACTCAAATTGAGGGGAAACAGCTGCAAACATCCATTAATAATACGAACATGGAATATACAAAGTATGAATCTAGGAAAATTGGAAGTTGTCAAAAATGAAATGGAATGCATAAAGATTGATATCCTAGGCATTAGTGAGCTGAAATGGACCGGTTTTGGCCATTTTGAATCAGATAACCATATGATCTACTATGCCAGGAATGACAAATTGAAGAGAAATGGCGTGGCATACATCATCACAAAGGATGTTTCAGAATCTGTCCTGAAGCACAATGCTGTCAGTGACAGGATAATATCCATATGCCTACAAGGAAGACCTGTTAATGCTACTATTATTCAAATTTACGCACCAACCACCAAAGCCAAAGATGAGGAAACTGAAGATTTTTATCAACTTCTGCAGTCTGAAATTGACTGAACATGTAATCAAGATGTGTTGCATATCACTGGTGATTGGAATGCAAAAATTGGAAACAAAGAAGAATCACCAGTAGTTGGAAAATTTGGCCTTGGTGACAGAAATAACGCTGGAGATCACATGATAGAATTTTGCAAGACCGACTTACTTACTGCAAATACCTTTTTCAACAACACAAACGGTGGCTATACACATGGACTTCACCAGACGGAGTACACAGGAATCAGACTGACTACATCTGTGGCAAGAGGCGAAGGAAAAGTTCAATATCTTCAGCCAAAACAAGGCCAGGAGTTGATTGTAGAACAGACCATCAACTGCTCATACGCAAGTTCAACTTGAAGTTGAAGACAATTAAAACAAGTCCACGAAAGCCAAAATATGACCCTCCTGAATTTAGAGACCATCTAAAGAATAGATTTGATGCATTGAACACCAATGACCGAAAACCAGAAGAATTGTGGAATGACATCAAGAACATCAGTCATGAAGAAAGCAAGAGGGCATTAAAAAGATGAAAAAGAAAAGACCATAATGGATGTCAGAAGAGCCTCTGAAACTTGCCCTTCAGCGAAGAATAGCTAAAGCAAATGGAAGAAAAGACAAGATAAAAGAGCTGAACAGAAGATTTCAAAGAGCAGCTCGAGCAGACAAAGCCAATTCTATAATGAAATGTGCAAAGACCTGGAGTTAGAAAACCAAAAGGGAAGAACACGCTCGGCATTTCTCAAACTGTGAAAGAACCAGGAAAAAACTGAAGCCTTGAGTTGCAATATAGAAATAGTCTATGGGCAAAATATTGAATGATACAGGAAGCATCAAAAGAAGATGGAAGGAAAAACAGAGCCACTGTACCAAAAAGAACTGGTCGATCTCCATTTCACAAGGTAGCATATGTTCAAGAACCAATGGTGATGAAGGTAGAAGTTGAAGCTGCACTGAAAGAATTGGCGAAGAACAAGGCTCCAGGAATTGACGGAATACCCATTGAGATATTTCAACAAACAGATGCCCCACTGGAGGCACTCACTCAGTTATGCCAAGAGATTTGGAAGACAGCTACCTGGCCAACTGACTGCAAGA